GCAGTTCAACTTCGCTAGTGACGAAGTCGTGAAAATCGCGTTTATAGAACACGACTTAGAATATGTGGGTCTGCTTCCAGAAGAACGACTTCTTGACTTGGAGTATGCTGACGATATTGCCATAATCTGTGACAGCCCACAAACGTGCCAAGCCGCGCTGGACAGATTAGCACTGGCTGTCCGTCACTTCGGGCTTTGCTTTGAACCATAGAAGTGCAAAGCTTCCCTACACGATTTGCAGGGATCGCCTCCTACACTGACCCTTGGTGGGGATCAGCTAGAAGTCGTACAAAAATTCAACTACCTGGGAAGTTGTATCAGCGCCCGTGGGATCGAAGACGAGATTACGAACCGTATAGCAAAAGCTCGAGATGCTTTTGCTAGCCTTTGCCACATGGCGCCGACGCGACATCAATCTCGCCCTGAAGGGCAGAGTGTACAATGCAGCGGTACGTTCGACCCTACTGTACGGTTGTGAAACCTGGCCCCTTAAATCAGCGGACATAAAGAGGTTACTTACGTTTAACCACAGGTGGCTTCGCAATTTGGCTCACATCTGGTGGGAACACCGAGTGAGCAACAAGCGTGGTCGACGCCTTGTATACGACTCAGGAAAAGGAAATGAACAGCTCAGCACCGTCAGTTCACGCACCAGGCTCGGATGGCTCGACCACGTACTACGCATGTCAGCCCACCGACTCCCGCGACATGTGTTGTTTGCGCGCCGGAGTGTGGATGGAAGAGAAGGGATGGCCAAGCAATGGCTTGGTCGAGAGGAATGAAGGGCCTCACTACTAGGCTGGCCTCGGTTGGAGTCTGACGGCTCCCTGATTGGGGTCCGAGAGAGGATGAACAAGTTTGGCTCGATACACTTGCTGACATGGTTAGGAGCCGACGTCAGTGGCGTTCGTTCTGAGTTTCTTTGTCCCACCCAACCCACTTAGCCTCCATCTACAATTATGCTCTCATTACTTATACTAATATAATTCTGCAGATAAAATTTTTTGTTGCATATTAGCCGGTTGGTAGCTTACCGGAACGATGCCCATCCGTTACCGGTAGTTCAGCTGGCTTGCATTTGTTGAATTTTTTTCTATTTATTGCGGCACAGTAGCTGAGGTGTTTTACACCTCTAACTAACGTGTGTAATGATGAATGATCATGATGATGCTCGAACGCAAAGATTCAGACGATTAGACAACGGGCAGCGATCATTCCCCAATGATAAGTACATTTTCAGTGATTTTGATTAATGCCAGAACCATAAGCAACAAACTTCATTTTATACACATACTTGCACAGTTCAATAACCCACAAGCGATCTTCGTCACTGAAATATGGTGTTCTTCAGATACGCCTGACTCTACTCTGATGATTCCAAACTACCACCTATTTCCAAAAGATCGCTGCGACAGAAAAGGTGGAGGGTGTATTATATACCCACGCGAAACATTTACAGCTAAACCTATAGACCACTCACGACTGGGAAATATCCCTGAATATTTTTGGCTGTCAGTTGCGGGTGTCTCATCTTACGCAATGTTCGCATGTAGCTACAATCCACCGAATGCGTCTAAGGTAAGTGTATCCACAACATCACTTTTGCACTTGACTTCGCATCAGTTGCCACACAGTCAAGATTATGGCCGGCGATTTCAACCAACCAAAAATACGCTGGTCATCCCACCCAACGTCTAGCTTGCACGCCTCTTTTCTTTCTTCCACCAGAGCTGGGGGCTGGACACGATAGATTGCCAGTCCAACCAGGTCAGCCAATGTACTGGACTTAATATTCACATTGAGGATACCCAATCCACAGACCGAGATCTTAAACAATCTCCCTGGCAGCGACCATAACATGATCAGACCCAGCTTCCAAGTTAAAATGGTCACTAAGCTCGCCTCTATAACGTCAGTTGCAACCCATAAGATAAACTGGCAATGCTTTCAGCAGGTCATTCGTTTCTCCGACTGGGATGTATTTTTCCTCTCTACCAGTGGGTACACCGTTTTGGAGCAGTTCTATAAACAAATCCATCAAGCTATAGCACTCTTCGGTCCCCAATGTACTCATACCCATCATGTCTCCAAAGATTCCGTCGAGCAATTAATCAGCAAGAAAACCTGCAAGTTGCAGAAGAACCTATGACTTTTCACTTGTCTTACAAATGCATGAATTTACCACCAGTCGAACACGCGTAATTAACGCGACGAAAAAATGAAGAACATGTAGCCATACGGACAAATTGCAAAGCTATGCAACTTGTCAAAATACTACATCGTAGAACCAGTGACCGCTCTTTTCTGATTGCCGAAATTGTCGATGGTGAGGATAATTTACTCTTTGACTCAGCTGAAATCTGTGAAGCATGCAGCGGCGTTTTGCAACTACCATGAGTCGCGAAGCTGACCCGGTGCCTGTGTGCACACAGCTCACAGTAACAAACGTTTTAGATAGAGTCGATATCTCGCTCAACGTTATCCATCAAGTTATCAAGTCAATCAGACCATCTAACAAACTGGGATCTGATGGCATTTCACCAACCACCATCAAAATAGGAGGACCTGATATTCCATTACTACTGATGAGTATGTTCACCCTATCGCTGTAATCTAACCACGTCTTAGACCAATGGAAAACGTCATTTATTGTGCCTCGGCATAAAGGAGGTCCCAAACAAATGATTAACAACTGCCGACCAATGCACCACACTCCGATACTCGCTCGGCTATTTGAAAAGTTGGTCAGAATGGAGATGATGAACTTCGTTGATTCTATTGGCCTGATCAACAATTCGCAGCATGATTTTCTCAATAAGCGATCGTGCACCACCTGTCAACTGCATTATCTTAATCCCATTTCAGAATCAATCGATTCCGGTTATGCAGTAGTAATCTTGTTTCTTGATATACACCAAGCGTTCGACCGAGTACCGCACATGCGACTGCTACAAAAGTTGGAGAACTTTGGGATCCGGGACCCATTACTAGGTTGGCTATCATCATACCTGAGTGATCTTCATCAGGCAGTCACTTTAGGTGATTACCGCTCTTCTCCACGCTCAATCACCAGTGGAGTCATTCAAAGGAGCGTGCTCGGCCCCTTACTCCATTTTCTCTACATCAATGACATCACCACATCTGGAAAACATCGTACATCATTTTTATTTACTGACTATATCAAACTAGCCTATAAGTTTCGGCGTGATGAGCTTCACGGGACATTACAGCTCATTCAAGATGCTTTTCATTCCCTTGAGTCATGGTGCTGCACATGGGTGATGAGCTTCTCGGCTAAGAAATCAAGCATCATGTCTAACGGCCGCTGCGTCTCCGAAGGATCTATCTCCTTAAACAATGAACGCATCCCTACACAGTTGTCTACGCGAGACCTTGGCATTAGGTACTTGTCTACCTACAATTTCTCCGAACAGGCCCAATACCAAGTAGCACGTACCAGACAGTCTATGTTTAATATATCAAACAAAATACACACAACTCGTGCTAAAGTCGAGCTTTTCAAGCTACTTAGTCGCCCCATCCTTGAATACTGCAGCACAATATACGGAAATATGAGAAAGAGTGACAGAATTATTGTGAAGGACCTGAAGAGGTAATTTACTAAACATCGGATTGGTAAACACTCTGCTATGAGTTATCGAGAACGTTGCAATGAACCTTATCTCGAACCACTTTGGATTCGACGATTGAAGCACAACTTGTTGCTGCATTTTAATATGTTACACAAAAAGACCTATTCCAACCTGCCTACACTCAATTTACAACATTGCTCAATTCGAGCGCTTCGCAACAAAGATTTTACAAGGAATATACCGAAGGCGAGAACGAACGTCCGCTCTAATTTCTTCCTGGTCAGATGCTACTATCTGTGGAATAAACTACCAATAACACTCAGTAGCAGACTCGCCAATTACCTTGATCTAACTACCATAATCTCTATATTTCCATGGGAAAAACCCCTCGATGAGCTATTCCAAGTGGGGGCCCAAAAACATATAAACACCAATGTTGGCATAACTAGGCTTTGGCCTCAACCATCTGCCAGAATGGTAATACATGAAACGCATATCCCAATACTCCAGCTATGCATGTCACCCATGTAAGAGCATGGATGCTTCGGTACAAATTGATATGTGCCGTTATAGACACAGTTTCTCTCATCAAGAGAAATATACATATTATTATTATTGTTATTATTATTATTATGTCCATACGTTACCGGTAACTCAGCTGGTGTGCGCTGGCATATTTTTTCTTTTCTAATGTTTTGCGGCACAGTAACTGGGGTGTTTTCCACCTCTAGCTAAGGTGTATAATAGTGGTGATAATGAATGGTGATGGCAAGCATGGCTGTGCAGATTCTTATGGCCAACACATTGGAAACAATTAAAACCTCCTGGCAGCAGCTATTTGAAGGGCTGTCTTTTTGATATTTTAGACCACAAGCGGCGAGAGCGCATACCAAAGCGACAATACATCTTGACTCCCTGTAGCTTGCCAACCCCGATTGTGCACCGAAGCTGAAGCACACATTAGGAAGGTCTTCGGTGTTCTTCGGTCCAAATTCTGTATCCCACAACAAGTCTCGTCTTCGTCTGGCGAATAAATAAGTAAAGAAATCGACACCTGTGCGCCGTAATGGCGCTTCGGTTCTACGCGACCAACACCAGTCGCGCGTGAGTTGAGTATATCGCGGATTCGAACCGGTACCCTTATGTTCGCAAGCCAGGCGTGCAGACCACTCGGCCACCTGCCGACTCCTCTGCTAGACTCATCAGTTAGAGAAAGCCCCAGCTGTGCGTGGAACACGTGACCTACTGATAATTTGGCATTAATCACCTGTATGCTTACCGAGCGCTAATTGAGACACTGCAAACAGTAGGGCTAAACAAAGTGATCGAACTAGGTAGTGATGTATTGCGACCGGGGAGTCGAGGTAAGAAAATGAGGTTAGAAATATGTCAGACAATTATGTTTACCTCCAGCTGCGACACAGATCGTTCTGCTCTGCGAGCCGACGTGTGTTCAATAAGGCTTCGACGGAACAGCGCCTCCGTAGCAATGGGCCAACATGATCGAAAAGTATCCTCGGGTGCATGGTCGTTGGATTCTGGATACGCCTGTCGAAGGACTGCATTGATGTAGGCCAAGCACTGTTCATCCGCCATATCGTCTCGGGGGCTTGCAATACGGTATAGTTCGCTGAAGGGATGTAGAACAGTAAATGGCCAAGTACCAGAGGAGTAGAACCAAACTTTGCTCTTCAGCAGATAGTCGTGGTAGTAATTTCATTTCCTCGCTGGTAAATGCGGTAGCATTCAACAAGGTGTCGTCATCCAGTTGAACAGCCTACAAGGGCAGAAAAAGATTGGTGCTACATCCGGAGTACTTACCTTGGGCAACTGGAACGAACCTGTAGGTGGTTCTTCATTCGACGGATAAGAGCGGTCGACTTTAATAAACAGGTTCGCAACATCACTTTGCTGAAATCGGGTACGTTTTCCAAGAGCACCTGGGAAAAATGAGGAACAATACTGCTTTCAGAAGCTACCGCTGAAGCTTAATGACAGCTGCATATGCTTCGCACACTTGGAAGCGAACTCCTCGGCCATTTCATAGTGATAATAGAACACACAAAGGTATGCAGCAAGAAGATAAAAGCATGTCAAGTCCTCTTTGGCGGGAAGAAATCCACTTTCCAGCTCGTCCTCACCTGGGATTAGGATTAATAGGAGGAACAGGAGGAACCTACCAATTTCCAACAAGCGGAGAAGTTCCACGTGCAACCGTTCTGAACGTTCTTGGCCGATTAAGTACTGATGCAGATAAACGCACTTTATGGCAACCAACATGTGAGGAAACTTCTGGTAGCAAGTGGATGAAGTATAGACGAAGCGAGTGAACTCACTGTGCTTCGCGTGAGGTCGCACATTAGCAGGGAATTGCGCTTACACAAGTAAAATAAGCCCAAATGCTTTGCTTGCTTAAAAGGAACCTCGCCCTCGACAGTGAGGTTGGAGATAGCGGCGTAATCTAAGGCGGTCACATTGAAATCGTCGGTGGCGTGGCCACCTAGGAAATTCGCACAAACAAACTGGTGTAGCAAACATTCATTGAAGGCCAGAACCGAGATGGATCTAGAAGTAAAGTTGTATATAAATAGAGCTCATGATAAAAAAGCCAACCTTTCTAGCAATAGGTTAACTAGCTGCTCATCGGATAGCTCTGCCACATCCACCTCTTCAAAAAGACGCCGGATTTCAGGAATTAGGTCGTGCATAGAGTCGGTCAAAGAATCAGGGTCGCTAACATCTACAAAAGTAAGCAGAAAACGAGATTCGATTAAAGTCGAAGAAAATTGGGGTATAGCGTAGGGGAAATGATGATCGTTAGGCCATGTGAATAAAGCTGCGACTTCATGAGGTTATAGATATTGCACAAGCGGTGGATGAAACAAAAAGAGTAGGAAAAATGAATGAAGCCATTAGTTACGAAAGTGCTTGGTTCAGTGCGGAACGGAAAGAGCACGTTGTGTTTGTACACCTTCAGTGTAAACGAAGATGTGATGCTTGCAGCAGGGATAGGAGATAAGAAAAACTGGCGTTTGGTGGTTACCTTTATCATTTCATGTACGAATGCACCAGATGTCTATTTCGCCGACGACCACAAAAGGCCTGGATACACCGGGTGTGTTAAGATAGAAAGCAGTATTGTGATGCAAAGTAAATATCCAAGGGAAAAAAGGCTTAAACTGAAATGCAGATGCGAAACTGATAAACACGACAAATGAAGTTAAACAGAAGGTGGTAGAAACGGGGTGAATAAAACGACGTCAAAACAAAAACAGTATGGACTGCCTAAGCGGCATAGCCAGTCTGCTGTTAGTAAAACTACTGAAACTACTTAACCACGAGTTAAGAAGATGGAAACAGCGGTCCGTCCGTTCGGATATTGCCCAATAATTCGATAATGCAGCGCTAACCGCGGCTCTAGAGATAATTCTGTTCACATGGAAGTCAAATGGGGTCCAATTTCTTCAATCGGAGATGGTCATCACGCGTTTGGAAAAACAATGGACAGCTGTTTCATCCTCTCGGGAATCGATCGTAGCGCGCATTCCATCTGTTACCTTTGTGGCTAGAACTCTCGATCTAGTAAGTAAGACTGCAATGTATAGCAGGCGAGTGTTTGTGATACTAAACGGGCACCGAGGGAAAGCCGTTGATATGCAAAAAGCAAATTGTTCGATTAGTCAATGCTTTCTGTCTAGCCACATAAGTTAACGTGTCCGTAAGTAAAGCCCCCGGTGGGTTCAATTATCTCCGTCAAATGCAAGTGTTACGTATTCTTGATGTGATCAGATCGATATGTGGATGATGCACTAGAAAGTACAGTAGATGAATCGAACAAATTACGGTTAACATACGCAAACCATACAGAACGCAACAACTATGGCAAACAGCGGTACGAAAGCCCTTGGAACTAAGATGAGAGACGTGTCATTTGATTAGCTACCTGGTCGTCCAAAGAAAAATAAGCCGTTACGAAATACAACTGTACGCCGCTCATGGGTGTGACATGGATTTGCTGATCATCTCCACAAGTCGAATGTGAAAATGATCCAACCAAAATTGAAAGCATGTAGATTTTTGAACAACGGCTCTAAAGCAATGCATGACCACAACCCTGTTCATGACAATTGAAGCTCAGCCTACACAATACAGATAAAGAGTTGAAATGAAGAAATGCGGTGGACACGGAGCATAGCGCACATCTAGTGAAAGTGGTGAATGAGTAACACTGATGTTGCCAGTGGCGCTTAACATTAGACCCCGTTGTCGAGCTGGACGGATGATCAGGCCACGTGATTCGCACGCCTGCAAAACAACTCTATCAGTTACCAATACAAAGAAAAATGGCACATCTACTTAAAACGTGCGTCCAGATAATAAACTAACAGTGAACGAAAAATAAAGAGAAAATAAAAGATATACAGGCAATACAAGGGAGATATATCGGTTGAAATGCCGACAAACAGATGGAAGCGTTGCGTATACGCTGAGTGTACCGCGAAGTGACCCGAAGCTATGTGGATTCAAACAGATGACCACCGGATTACAAGACAAGCGCGTAACCCTTTCGCCTATTGGCCGACAGGCACCAAGTAAACGACCGAAATCGGACAGTCGCGTCAGACGTTTGAACAAACTGGTTAAAGACTAGAGAAGAAACGCGCAACGTCCCGCGACGGTGTTGGACGCAGAGACTGATCAACGAGAGTTTGGTTCGAAAAACTCTCTTCCTTTGCGTGTCTCTCCTTTTGCTAGGACCTCTGTGTTGTTCTAAGCGAAGTGATGTTCCTCTACGTCTGTATGTATTGAAACCAATGAGAGAGCGTAATGGCTCTTACAAGCTCTCTTATGCTCTTGTGTTAGTTATCAGGACGATTGACGGGGAGTTACAAACATCGGTTTACAGGAAAGGAACACACACCGACCAGATTCTAAACTACTCCACTAATACACCCAAAATGTCACAAAATAAGCTGCTTGCGAACTCTCTTTCGTAGAACTGTAACACATTACAGCACTCTTGAGGCAAAGCGAAAAGATATATATGTTCAGATCATTTCATCTAAATGGATATCCACATAGCTTCGTCCGGCGATGTCTAAACAACAAAGCTACGACCCCTCAGCCTGCTCAGACGACAACAAAGAGAATGGTTCTACCCTATGTAAAGAACATCTCCGAGATGACAGCAAGATTATTCAAACAGCACGGTCTTACAGTGGCTCACAAACCAACTGCCACATTGAGGAGAACTCTGTCGAACCCCAAAGCTGGACCCGAAACACAGGAAAGACGAAATGTTGTTTACAAGATACGATGTCAAGATTGTGATAAAAACTGTGGGTCAGACAGGAAGACGACTGTCAACAAGAATACAAGAGCATAAGAGAGCTTGTAAGAACCATTAAACTCTCTCATTGGTTTTAATACATACAGACAAAGAAGGACATCACTACGATTGGAACAACACAGAGGTCGTAGCAAAAGGAGAGAGTTCCTCGAAGCATGGTACTCGACGCAACATTCGATAAACATGCACACAGAGATTGATCTAGTGTACCAAACGTTAAGACGGAGGGAACTAAAACACCTCTTAAAAAACCATCGTGGTCAGCTAAATCAGCCATCAGCAACAGCCGGGGCAAAATCATCCCACCGATCACCAGTGTCTATCAGAGTTGGGCAGACCGGTGAAGGTCACTGGGCACAGATCGAGGAGGTCAGTTCAAAAGTCACTTGTTGATCGATTACAAATCGACGAACAAGTCGGCGGATTACATTTGACCCAGCAGCGCACTGACGAAGTCATCTAGTTTGGTGATGAAACGTTTGCATCCCAATTCCGAAACTCGGCGAACAAGTGAACTCAGGAACTGCGCCATGTCTGATAGCGTAGACAACCACTAAGATGCACCACCCTAAAGCGCCCATCCACGAAGGCTGCACGCACCAGCATGACTAAGTCAGACAATTCACTCATGCGTCCATGCACCGACTGGACACCTGTAGTTCCGCCCAACTTTGTGCAGCGACAGTATACAATGCACACGGAGGAAGCTGAACACTAGTATAGAGAGAACATGATGTAACCAAAATAAGCGGTTGAGATTCAACAAACACTCCGGCGAAACACATGCGTAGGTGACCGGGCGACCCTCGAAGTTCAGTTGATCAGCTATGATCCGAGCACCCAAGTGCGGTGGATCTAGTTGCAACGACCCACATCGCAATAACAAAAAATAACAACGGCTATATAGTGGGGCTAAATGCAAAGGTAAAGTAAGTGGAAGCAGGAAGGAAGTGGGTTAAAATAATCAGAATGTAACGAAAATTAACACCCAGATGCGAGAACACCAGACCGCCTGACTGCGCCATGTCTGATACGGTCGTCAACCATTGGTGTAGACCATTCCAAGGACCCCATCCAAGAAAACGACATACACCCGCCTGACCAAGTTTCGCCGTCAATTCCTTCATGCTTCCATGTCACGTCACGGACTAGCCACCTCGAGGTTTCGCCCAACTTGGAGCAGTCGCGGCGTACAATGCATACCGAGGAAGCCGGTCAACACGCATACGGAAGACATGGCCTAACCAACGTAAGCGATTAGCATTCAGCAAACATTAGAGTGAGGAACCAAAAGGCTTCTTGCCAAAAACCAACTGGTAGACATCAGCATTGCTTATCCGGTGTTCCCACCAGATGTGAGTAATACTCCGCAAGCAACGGTGGTCAAACACGGCCGAACTGGGCCGCGAACTGGGCAGGTCTCTGATCCATACAGTAAGACCGGCCTTACCGCAGCGTTATACACCATACCTTTCACTGACAAGCTGATATCCCGTCATCTGCATACATAGTTGAGTCGCCGGAAATCCGTACGGGCCTTACTGTTACGCGAACTAACATCCTCGGTGAGATGACCACCAGAGGTGACACAGCTACCAAGGTAACTGAACCGATGCACCACTTCCAGTGGCTATTCGGTCATAACTGGAACCGGAGGTGTGTCGGTCCACTCTTGCAGTAGTACTTTGCACTTTGAAGGTGCAAAGCACATGCTGAAGCATGCGACGCTACGCGTCAGTCTATCCAGTAATGTTTGCATAGCCGCTGCGTCGGATCCAAGAAGAGCTATGTCGTCCACAAACCCCAGGTTTGTCAGTCGGTCACTTGGCAGAACTTCCACTCCGGTAGAGTCTGTGTTGTGTGAATTGGCGGAGAACAGACACGCCGAGTGAGAATGAGTATAGCACGAAGGAATAGGCTTTATTGAGCAAGAAAGCGAATAGAGTAAACTGAAAAAGAGTATAGAAAGGTCGTCAGTAATAACCACAGAATGGTGATTGCGAGTCAAACTTCATGTGTGTAATTTACATGCCATTCTCCCCGACGTGTTTGTGAACAATGGTTTAAGGGGGGGGTATTTCTATACCTCGTGGTTACGCAAACAGTAAGCACGCATTCGGTGATGCTGCTCGTAAAGATGTGCAGGGTCAGGTGGACAAGATGGGACAATCTGGGGTACTTCAGTGTCCGTCGCAACGAGACTGGACCTTAACGTGGTGCGACGATTTGCGTACCTCCTTGACCCATTGAGCTATACTGGGTGATGCCTCCGGGCACCTTGAGAGCTACTCCTACCAGGATGGTCAATAGTGAGAGGTCAGACAAACTCAGTCTCCTGGTCCGCCAGGTTGCGGGTTTGAGATGGAATGGCGTCCATTTCTGTAAAACCAA